TTCTAATATTTTTGTCGAGCACAAAATTTATTGCAAATAAAGTATTGGCATGACTTGCTGAAAAGGTTAAAAAAAAAGTAATATTTATTATTAGTATATAAAAAATTTATTTAATAAATTCTTATATGTATCTAATTTGTAGCAACGAAAGCAATTATAAGTAAACTATCATGCAAGAGCTCTATCTTAGTAAAGTACAGCACCAATTGTTTGAAGTAATTTACTATTGCTTTACCTTTTATGAATGCTACTTTTAGCAAATATCACAATATTACAGATAGCCAGAAGAACCAATTCTATTATTTTGTGATTCATGTAATAATTGTCTAAAACATAAAGATAATGGTGTAGGTGAATTAGTAGATGTTAAGATAGAAATTTTTGATATATTAAAAATAGTTGAGACCTTGTATAAGAATAATGATAAGATAATTGTACTTATTGATATAGTAGATATTTTTGTTTTAGCAGAAAATAAACAACTGCGAAGTAAAAAATTAAATTTATTAGATCTTGCTAACTATTACAAACCAAAAATATTAAATACAGAAGTACTAGTCAAATCAGTATTAGCTGATCTAGTTTGTTATAGCTTAGTAAAACAATTTATTTTATTAGATAAAAAGGCTAACACAGATTATTTGACATGTAATTTAGTTATAGAAAAAACAGCAAAGAGTACAAATTTACTTGTACAAAAAAATACTTGGTTGTATTGGATAAAATAATAAAATTCTTTGAAAAAAAGAACGATATTGTATCTGGTATGTTTATTCATATGTATATACATGTGTATCTAAATTGCCCATCTTAATAAAAATAATTACAGCATTTAGACAGTGAAATTAGTCTTATATAGTGCCAAAATTAATTTTCAAATATGCCAAAATTATTACCAAAATTTTTAAACTCTTCATCAAAATACATTATATAATATAGTTATTTTGGAGGGTTTCATATAAAAAGTTTAGCAATATCGAAATGTTTGCTGAAAATACTTTTTTTGAAAAATAATTTAGACGCACATGTATATGTATGTACGTACGTACAAATTACCATTGAATGTTCTAGATTTACAGTCAGATGTTCGATTTTCATATATGTTACACAAAAATATGTAACCACTGATTTTATATGAAAAATAATCGACATACCCCCTACCCTTAATTTTTTATAAAAAATAAATAATTTTTTATAAAAAAAAATAAATTCAATAAACTTTAGGTTAGGGCAAAGCCCAGGATTTGGGTTAGGGCAAGATTTATATGTAGAATTAAGCAAGGAATTTTTTTACTTAGAGCCTCAAAAGCAGTTTCATAAGCGAAATTTTTAAATATT